GACTTAGCAACTCAGAATTCTGACTTAGTATCTCAGAATTGCGACTTAGCAACTCAGAATTCCGACTTAGTAACTCAGAATTCCGACTTTATATCTCACATTTGTGACTTCGAAATAGCCATATTTCATTGTCTGTCCTTTTGTTATAGTAATGGATTCGGGTTCTAGGGCTTGTGCCCTCGCCGCTCCCACCCTAGTTCGTGCCTCACTGCACTGGCTCACTTTCTTTAAGAACACTTTCTTTAACCCCGGCGGCCAGCATCCCTGTTATGCGCAGGGGAGGGTGGTGTACTGCAACCAGATCGTACAACCTGTATGTCGGCCGTTCCGTTACACTATTTTCATGAATCATACAGGATCATAGGATCTATAAACCTGAAGACTTGTCCTGTACAGTGCCCTGATAAAAATCAAATTAATTACACTAATTTTTATAGAATCCCATTTCCGCTAGTGAGGCTTCCATAGTACCCGGATGGAATAGTGCACGGTGGGCTTTTTAAAAATAGTTTTTATTTACGTAGACAGAATATGAAATAAGATACAGAAATAGGCACTTCACATCCAGAAGAATTCAAATAAAAGCTGAAACATACTTTTTACGTATTTCCATTGTATGTCCTTTTTTACTTAAAAAAGAAGGTCTTCTTTAGCTCAGCTGGCAAGACTTAGGTTTGAGCCAGTGCAGAGAGGCACGAACTAGGGTGGGAGCGGCGAGGGCACAAGCCCTAGAACCCGAATCCGTTACAATAACAAAAGGACAGACAATGAAATATGGCTATTTCGAAGTGAGATATAAAGTCGGAATTCTGAGTTGCTAAGTCGGAATTCTGACTTACTAAGTCGGAATTCTGAGATAGCATAGCGCGTTTTTTTTTACTCCCTGGTGGAAACGGGCTTCCATACATAAGTGAGAAATGTGTTATACTGTACATAAAGATGCACACTCTTCTTGTTTCAGACCTTCTTTCCTTAATCTCTTCATTCTAAGAGTGATGAACTGATGGAAACAACAACTGTCTATGTAGCTCTTAATTCTTTCTATTTTTCTATTAACACAAAGAAAAACCTAAGTTAGATTTTTAACCTCAGGTTACACAGTTGTTCCTGAGTTGGACTGATAAATATAATACAGTACTGCATAATGTACTTGAACAATATCTCAGTCACATTTTTTGGCTGGTTGTCAGCATATTCACATAACTTCAGAAATAAATATCCCAGGCAAAAAAATCCTGTTCCACAGTACTTGTGTATTTCCAGTGTAGAGAACTCTGATATCTTTGAGGGATATAAAAGATACTACATTCATAACCAAATATTTTATAGTGGTCAAAAATAAGTGTGCAGAAAAGAGTTCTTTTGACTGGTCCACCCGAGAAACTTCCTCTCTAAACCTGATGTTTCTGTTCATTTCTACCACTTGATACAAAATATTAGCATGGCCCATCGTTGCCTAGTTTGCATAAGATCTGGCTCTAGTACTGTACGTGATGTATAACTTAAATTAAATAAGTTGAGTTTTAACTTTCCAAATGTTGTCTACAGTACATACAGAGTGTCATAAAAACAGGCAAGAGCCTTTTGTGAAAATTACATGGGATATTCCCCCTTTGGAAGAGATACTACATCATCTCTTCAAATCCAAAATGAAAACCTACCTTTAAACCACGGCCTATGTCTGATTGTCTTACATTCTATCTGTATGAACCTGTGCTGTATGTTGTTTTTTCTTTTACTTTTCATTGTACGTTTAATCTTTTTCTTTATCACTATGTACAGATTCCTTGGGTTTGGAAAGGTGCTCTATAAAAAAGTTATTATTATTATTATTATTATTATTATTATTATTATTATATAATTTAAAGATTGCAGGAATTGAGTCTATACTGTACTATTGTTATTAAACTATGGTTCTTATAATAGGAATATGCCTGAAGTGAAACATCTAATCCAAGCCTCAATGTAAGGCATAGTACAATTCCTTGAAAGTCAAGATACAATCATACAATATATCACGGTTGCATGATTCTGTTAGAATTTATACATTTTTTTGGGATGGTTAAATGCTTAATTTTGGTCAAACTGCCCATCTCTGTTAAGAAAATGTGAGTGGGTCCCTTTAAGAGGATGGTCCTTAGAAGAGGAGGGGCTATAAAAGGGACTGGGGGAGCTCAGTATGGGGAGGGTGCCTTGGAGGAAAGGTGTGGAGAGGACTCCTGTGAGGGACGGGGTTTGTTATCCCTATTTTGATGGCAATACATCCAGTTTTGTTTGCATTTGAAGACTGCTGTGTGGGAGTTTCTTTTCTTTTGAGCCAAACCTGGTCACTCGGCTGGTGACGAAGAGGATGGACTGGGAGGACTTCTTAAGGCGATGATACCACATAACTTTCTTTTAAAAATATTTTCCTGGGCAATGGGCTTTCTTTGCAACCACGTGGTGTGTCTGATTATTATCAGTTAAAAAATGTGGACTAGTAGATGGAAAAACCTGTCTGTCAGATATGAAATGGTGTTTTTAGAAAGCATGTTGACTTACTGTACATAGTGAAAGTAAGAACTGGTTTTGCCTAAAGCTCCTTTTAAATTACATATAGAATTATAACTTTTTAAAACCAGAGCTGAAGAGTTATTTTTCTTCTACATTTATTTATTTCCCTGTTTCTTTTATCTGAGTGAAGCGATACCTAACATGTTACTACCTTGTAGCCTGATCTCAGGACGTCTGGGCCTGGTCAGTACAGGGATGGGAGTCCTTTCTGCTGTAAGAGGCATGGGTTGACCACTATGTACTCAATCCTCCAACTAATGCAGTGTGCTGACTAGGAACACTGCTATAGGATACAGTATGTTCCTCTTTGGATAAGATGATAAACTGAGGTCCAGGCTACTTGCTCAATTAAGATCCTTTGTCAATGTTCATAAGAATAGTTGTGTTAACCCTGGTGTTTTTGGTAAATTCCACTTTGGGCTTGCACAGTCTGGATTGGCAGAAGTTCCTCCTTATTCAATAGGTAAATGTATTTTTCACTTCTCTATTGATTCTGCTGTGTAGCATGTGCTGCAGCTGGCACAGAATAGTTCAATTCAGTTTATTGTCATGAAGTGCAATGAAATGCTTATTTGCATGTATGCTCCAATACAAAGACATTAAAGAAATAACTGAAAACAAACACTGAACAGTAGCAGCAGCAATGGCAAGTTAAATAACATACAACTTAAAAAAAGTTGAGTGTGAGCCAGTGATAGGGGTAGAGTTCAGTAATCTGAAAATTTGTGGCAATCTGAATCTTGAAGTCCCTGCCTTTATGCTCCTATAACGCTTACCAGAGGGAAGGGAGAGGAAAATGAGAAACCAGGATGACTGGTATCCTTATCGATACTTCCAGCCTTCCTGAGACAGCAAGTTGTAAAAAAATGTCCAAAATATAGGGGAGATGTACTTCAGTGATAGACTGGGCTGACCTTATCACCCCCCCTGCAATGCCTTCCAGTCAGACAATGAGCTGCTGCCAAACCACACTGTAATACCTCATGTGAGCACACTCTCAATAGCACACCTCTAAAATGTCTGAGGAAACTGTCTGAGGAAGCAAAGACACTGTTGTGCCTTCTTTGTAGCTCCAGTTACATGCTGGGACCACATAAAATCATTAGTGATGTAGGTACCCAGGAACTTGAAGCTGCTAACCATCTCTATGGGCACCACATTGATGTGAATACTGTAGGTGTGTGGTCCCCACCCTGCTTCGTAAAATCGATGACCAGCTCTTTGGTTTTGCTGACATTGAGGGAGAGGTTATTGTCAAGGTACTGCTCTACCAGGTTCCTGAACTCATCCCTGTATGCTGTCTCCTCATTAGCAGTGATTCGGCCAGTGATTGTAGTATCATCAGCATATTTGAAGGTGGAGTTGGAGCTGTGTCTGGCCACACAGTCATGGGTAAACAAGGAAAACAGCAGAGGGCTAACCACACAGACCTGAGGGACACCTATATTAACGGTCAGCGTGGAAGACATTTTTCCACCAACCCTGACAGTCTGTGGTCTGCCAGTCAGGAAATCCACAATCGAGCTGCATAGAGAGATGCTGATGCCCAGGTCATTAGGCTTCCTGACTTGTCTCGTGTTAATGTGCCTCATGAACAGCCTTTCAAAGCATTTCAAAGAATAGCAAAGAATACTGTAGCTGCTGTGTGTCAACTAAGGGGTTAGTGTGCTTTACAGGAGTATTTAATAGCTGCTCTATGTGTAAAGAGCTTTGGGACCCTATCAAATGAAAAGAGCTATGCACTGTAAATGCAAACAATTATTAATATGCTAGATCTCTTTGTCAATGTCCTATTATAACAATTATAATTAACCTTCCATGGTAAGTTTAACAGTGAAGCAGGAATAAATCCAAGATTAAGGTACAAG